AAAAAAAAAGTCATTTGTTGTAGTGCACACACCATCAGGGTCCTTTCCCACTCCATCCTCCCAACTCACGCCACCTCGCAGGAAAATAATAGCTTCGGCCACACTGGCTTTCCCGTTCTGCTTTCCGGATGACTGAATTTCTTTGCTCCTCTCTCCCGTCGGGGACCGCCTGAAACTGCCCCCAAGTTGCGTTCCCAGGAGACCCCCCGGATTCGATTCGGGGACTAAAGAGCAAACTCACTTCAGCGCCCTCCGTAAGAGGAGCTCATCCAGGCTGGATAAACCAAACTGGGAAAAGAAAACGGTGGGGGTGGGGTGAGGGGGGTGTGCAAGAAGAACCGCTCCTGCAGTTCTCGCTCCTCCCCGCCCGGGCGGACCTTGCGGGTGCCCACTGCGTGCCACGTGGGGCTGCCCCAAGCAAGGCGCATACCCCCCCACACACACACACCCAAAGGCTTTGGGAAAAAACTGCCGAGAACAATGAACCCTAAAGGACAGGGAGAAGCAGAGGTGGGTGAGAACCCTCGTTTTTCAACCCCTATTTTTTTTGACATTCCTTAGGTTTAATCATTAAAATGGATCCTTTAAAAAAAAAAGCTTAACGCTGCCGTTCCTGACAATCTGCCCCACACACTGGTAGCGAAGTGAAAGATCTGGATCGAGCTTTGTTGCTTCGCTACCAACGGTAGACTTGGGGAGACCAAGCCTCCGATTTCTGGCCACATCAAAGCAGTGATTATGCAAATACCCCCCTTTTTTTAAAAGAATAAAATGGAAGGGGAATTATTTATCACACAATGAACCCCCTGCCAGGGAGGGAAACAATAGATCAGACCAGATAGCCCTTCTAGCCCCAGGCTGGGGGAGCGGGAAGGGGGGTGCTGGAGCCCTCACGTTTTATTGGTCTAACCTAATTTCACTAATTCTCTTTTCACACATTTTCTTTTGCGGATTCGGAGGCCGGGACTTTCACGCTCCCGGGAGCGCCCTGCATCGGTTCGATTCAAGGGCTGCCTGCTTTATTTAATTAATACATTCAAAGCTCGCCTGGGAGCCCTAGAGCCGAGCGGGCGCGCGGGGGGGGGGGGGGGCGGAGGGGAGGCCAAGCACGAGGAGGAGGCGCTTTTAACGGGTTCCAGGTGTCGGTGCCCAGAAGTCACAACCTGCCCGAGGCTGTGCAATGCAGGGGGTGCACCCGGCGAACTGCAGGCGGAGGGCGAGACGGGTGGGGGGGCTCGCCGCAGCCAGGAGCCCCTGCTCCCCGGACTGGCGGGGGTGCGCGGCTACAGCGGGCCTTGGGCCCAGATGTCCTTCATGCGTAATCGGGCTAAACTCAGGGAAGGACCGACTGGACCCTCGCTCTCTCCGGGACAAGGCCGCCCGAGGCCTTCCGGTGCCCTCGCCTCTGCCCGGCCCGCAAGGCTTGGCCCGGGAGGGCGCCCACCCGACCTCTGCTCAGGCGCGGCCGGACTCCAGGCTCCTCAGCCCTGCTGTCGCCTCGCGCCTCGGCTGAGCCTGGGCCGGGGTCCCGCGGTGGGCCCAGCAGTTGGCAGCCCGTCCCTCTGCTGCTCTTTTCCTCCTTGTTGGCCCTCAATGACTGGATTTATTTACAATTTGGTGAAGGAAAAATTAGTCTGGTAACAAGGCCTGGGCAGTTCAGAACAAATAAATACAACCAGTACCGGAACCCTGACGGCGTCGAAGCGAAGTTTCCAAAGAGGACAGGAGCAACCTTCGCACCTCTCTGCCCTTAGGTAAACACGCGCAGCGCACCCGTTGGCGCTGGAAAGATCTAGCAACTCTGGCGGTGTGGGACTGGCATTGGAAGAACATCTCCTTGGTCTTGTTTGAAACGTTTGCCAACCGGGAGCTGCCAGAGAAAGAGTGGCTGCTCAGCCGCCCACCAGCCCGCTCGATGCAGACAGACCCAGCTCATCCGGTTGTGGTCGTAACGTGGGGAGGAAATGGGCCAAAGGGAAGAGCGGCTATATTCCCTACTGCAGAAGCAGCGGCCTCAACTCTGTAATTCTCATTCTTGCAGAGGGGGGTAAAGGACAGGCTATGGAAGTTGCTGCGCGACTTCCCAACGCGAACTGAGGCAGAAGGATCATCATCCTTAACCGCGGAAAGAGATTGGACGCCATAAAAATAATTGCACCGATTTGTGTAAAATAAGGTCTACTCGAGATGAGGAAGGGATAGCCTGAGTATAGGTTACAAATGGTAGACGGAATTCCAGCCATGGATGACATGCTGCTGACGTGTATGGGGACCTACAAGCTCCAGCTAAACGCGCCGCGGGTCCTGTGTAGGGGCGGCTGCTCGTTCGCGGTATTGCCCTTACTCAAAGCTGTGGTTATTGGACCATCTCGGCATCCATCCTCTCCAACTAAACAATTAGAGTCACCTGTCTATGGGATCACCCCACCAATTGAGGAGGTTTCCCATAGTCTTGGGAGACTAACTGCCCTGAGAGTTTGTTTCCACAGACCTATGCCATGAAATGTTTCTTTGGCAAATTTCCAAAAGAAGCACCATATATCTATAAACATCATCGCTCGAACAATGATTTGGCATTAAAACTGTGACGTTTTAAAACTACCCTACTAAAATTGTTTTACTCGCGGGCTTAGCTTTTCAAACACTAGAAACATAACTGTGAATATTAAAGATACAGCACTGTCTCCTCATATCAGATAATCAAGAGTGGCTAGGAATAGCACAATCTTTAAATTAGAAGGGTTTTCCAACAGGTCTCTTTTCTGTCCAGCTATGAAAACAAAACAAAGCAAACCCCTGGCTTGGTTCTTCTTTTGATTAAAAAAAATGGTTATTAAGATACTAAACACAATATTTTCCATATGGGTAGAGAGGAGGAGTAGTTTCAGATATTGCAGGAGAAATTATTGTTGCTTAATGCAGAGGAGTGGAAGATTTAGCCCAAACCAGAAGCAGATATGAAATTCATTGGGGAGGGAGGGGAGCATGAACAACCAACATTTCTTTGCTAAGGTGATTTTTTTTAGCTTGTGTTGTCCAGTGGCCACCCTCCACCAAGGAAGGGGCTTAAACCTAGAATGTGGTCAACCTTCACTTGGTCATCTTTGACCCATGATGCTATTCACTTCTGCTTTGGAAATTGAAGTGCAAATTATAGTTATGTGTTGGGGAGATTAGGAAACCATTTTTGCTTTCTCTTTGAGTAAGTTTTGACTATGTAATTATTTTAACAAAAATGGAAAGCTTACCTATTTCCCTCAGAGACAAATTTATCCCAGCTCACTCTGAATATTTTTTCTCCAGGAATTAACTTTTAAAACCAACAAGTTTGTTAAAATGGCTAATACAAAATCAGCTTCCAATAATGAACTATAAATATATCACAGATGTAAGAGCTAGAAGGGACCTTGGAAATCACTGTCCAGTCCCTACAGTTTACAGGTGATAACTGAAACTCCAAGTGTAAGAACCACTTTTCTACACACTCTCACAAGAAACTTCAATGCCACTATTTTTTTTTTCACATCAAGGTTTCTAAACTTTGGAACTTATCATGATTTAATTATCTTTTAACCCTCCCCCCCCTTTTTACGGATCATGTTCATTCAGAAATTGATTTCTTAAAAATCAAGTTTTGTTTGGATGCAGTTACACTCTGACGTCAGTGCTAATGTCTCAAATATGATTCAGCTTCTTGTGATCTCTTAGACTTTATGTGTCAGCGAAATTCTGCACACAAACAACTGATGAAAAATACAAGTACTCTAACTCAATTTGCTACGGGGAGAATTTCAGAAAGGCACAACACATTCTTCTAAAAACCACAAAAGCAGGCAAAAGTTAGAATACAACACAAAAATTATGAAAATTATATATTTTATTTATAGTTTAATCAGAAGAACAATTTTTTGTTCAAGATGTAAATACATACTAGAATAAACTCTGTAAAATATACAAAAAATACATACTTTTCCCATGAAAAATTTCTTTATAATAAATAGAAGGGAACACGTGTGTGGCTGATCCTGATAATGCTCCGTGTCTGCTTAGGTTTTCAGTCTGTTGATTTATTTTTAATCTCTTGAAAGAATGGGGGAGTTCCTTCTCCCCTAAAAGGTCGAGATAAATAATGCATGAAGCAATCCTCCCTCCTGATTTTTCCCTTTTCCTCCACGTTTTTCCTTTTGATAGAGAGTTCAGCCTAAATTTCCACGCTTGCATTCAATCATTACAAAGCCTACAAATTATACAATGACTTCTAACCTGGCCCTCTAACAAAACAACTTTTTTCCCCTTATAAATCATAAGAGACAGATGGCAAAATGGAGAAGAAAAAGGAAAGAGAAGGACGGGACAATAGGCATTGTGACGAATCTGGGAAACAGAACAAAGTGCACATCAGAGAGGGAAAGTTTGGTTTGACAGGTGAAATTCCCACAGCCTGCAGACAGCAATGGGAATAAAACAGATGCCAGCCATTGCAAATCTGTGGATAATATTATTACCGGTAAAATCATTCAGATGCTAAGATACATTTGTTTCTACTCGACATTAACATCTCTATGTAGAAGCAAAGGTGAAGAGATCAGAGGAACCAGTTGCATTCCCCCTGGGAGATTCACACGAACCGCTCCGAGTCCCCCTGGTGTTACAGAGAGGGGGAGGAGCGTCAGTCCGCTCTGCAAACTCTTTAGACAGGCCACCTTCATCGCTTCCCAGCATCTTTTTAGCCTTGAGAAACGCCCCCAAAATTCTACCATCCTCTTTGACAATAAACTCCATCACAGCGTCAATAAGTTAGAGACCGTCTGAAGGAAGCAAACACTTAGCCAGGGAATGCAGCAAACAACCCAGGATTCAGAACGGCTACATCTGCCCCGTGAAGTGAGATGGTTTCCAGGGCTTAGAAGTGGGGACAGGAGAGAGGTGGGAGGAGGGCTTGGTCAGGGATAGGAACGGGAACCCACTAAGGCCTGGCGCGGGTACCAAGGATGGCAGTTCTAGATACAGTCCCTGACTATGGGGAGGTGAGGTGCGTAGCGGTGCTTGTCGGGAGGTGGGGGCTGCCAATAGTCCATATCAGACCCCGCCGGGCTGGCAGGAGATAAAGTGCAGCTGTAGGGGGACGTGGAGTTGGAGGACGCCGAGGAGGACGGCGCTGGGCTGTTGGTGCAGCTCCAGGTGGAGGCAGGCGACGGGCTGTCTCCGCTGCTGCTCAGGGAGGCGCTAGCGCCTCCCGGGCTCAGCAACACGGTCTCGGAAAAGAGCGCCCCCGGCAGGCCTCCGCCGCCACCCCCGCAGTGGTCCGCCAGGCGCAGGGTCTCGGTGAGCGCCCAGATATAATTGTGGGCGAAGCGCAGGGTCTCGATCTTGGTGAGCTTGGCGTCCTCGGGGAACGTGGGGAGTACCTCGCGCAGCGCGTCCAGCGCCGCATTGAGGTTGTGCATGCGGTTGCGCTCACGGTTGTTGGCCTTCAGTCTACGGGTCTTCTTGATGCGCTGCACCGTCTCGGCCGTCTTGGCTCCGCGGGAAACGGCCCGCGCCCTGGAGGGGCGCCGCTTGCTGCACTCGTGCACCAGACCTAGCAGCCGCGCGGGCCGGCAGCCCTCGGCTCCCGCGGGCGAGCCGCCCAGCGCCCCGGGCCGCGCCTCGGCCCCGTGCGGCCCGCGCGCCCCGCCCGCCGCGCCCAGCTCCTCCTCTTCCTCCTCGTCCGCGCTGGACGACAGCGGGGTGAGGGCAGCCGAGGCGGGGGAGGCCGAGCCGAGCAGCACCAGCACGTCCTCTTCCTCCTTCAACTCCAACGTCTCGGATTTGACAAACATCCTACCGAAGAGAGCGGGGAGGGAGAAAGAACCAAACGAGATGTAAATACAGAGGCCGAGGCACGTTCTCGGTGTCCGCGGGAAGTACTCCTGCGCGCACCCGCCAGGACTGGTTCGGAACCGCGCCAAGGAAGAACGTAGTTAGGGAGGAAACCCCGCCAGTGCTCTCCAAGCTCAGGAGAGCCCCTGGTTGTGACCCCGCCGCCAGCCAGCCAACCGGGCCCCGCCCTCGGCGGGCCGACCTCAAGGCTGTGTACCGCGCGGAGAGGGGCTGCGGCCCCCGGGACGAAGATTCTACGCGAGCAAAGGGCGTTCGGACGTGGTGGAACGGGGCGCCGAAAACAGCCTTGCAAGTTAGAAGCCACAGGGCGGATACTTACGTCGTTCGCTCCCTAAATGCGTTTCGGCGTCGCTATTACTTGGGCGTGTGCGGCGATTCTCCGCGCTGCCGGGAGCGCAGCGCTGCGTCCTTCTCGTCGCTTGAAAACAGCGGCCCTGGCGCGGCTCCGCGGGGGACCAGTCCGATGGGCGAGTTTGCCAAGAGCCCCGGCGGCCGCGGCGATCCGCCCGGGTCTCGTGTGTTGTGGTGGTGGTGCGTGTCTGTCTGTCAGTCAGTCCTCGGCCGTGCGGCTCCTGGCACGCGACTCCCGGGCACTCCAGTTAAAGCGAAGCTGCTTGTGGTTCAGTGGCTGCGTGTCTGGCACACGACTCTCCTTAAAACCCCTTATATACCACCAAGAAAACAATCAGATCTGCCCCCGGGGCCCCCACCCCCGGCCGCCGCCTTCTCCTCCCCCTGTGCCGACCCCCCTTCTCCCCCGCTTTTCCCTCCCCCCGGCTTATTCTTTTCATTGCATTATCATCATTCATTTCTTTCTCTTTCTTCACCCACTTCCCCCCTCCCCGGCCCTGCCATCCATCCATCTCCTCCCATCGCCCCCGCCTCTTTTCCCCCTTTATCTAATCAGCATAAAATGGTTCTAAAGCTCCTGTCGGAGCTCGAGGCTGCGGTCGGAGCGGCTGAAGCCGCGGTGGCGGCTTCAGCTCAAGCTGCGGCTGTTGTCGCCGCCGCTGCCCATTGTGATTGGTGGCTCGCGCTCGGCTGGAGCGTGCCGCTAATTTATTAATGAATGGAGGTCGCGAGGCGCAGCTGGCCAATCAGGGCGCCCCGGACTCCGGGAGGCCTGCGAGCCACGCGCACCGGAGCCCGCTCCCTTTCAGCCGCTCATTAGGGGCCGGGGCGCCGGGGGCCTTTGGGGAGACCGAGGCTACCGCCCCCGCCCCCGTCCTTGCGGCCGCACCCCCCTCCCCCAGGCCCGGCGCGCGCGCCCGCACAGTACCCGCCGCTGCCCGGCCTCTCAGCTCCCGGACGTCGGGATCCGAGGAATTAGTTAATGGGGGGTCAGAATGCCGGGGAAAGCAGCTACGCTCTGGTGATGCCGGGCGTCTCTTGGCAAAGCCTCTCAGGAGCTGCATCAAATAGTAAATGATTTTAAAAACGCAGTCATTTATGTGGTAGGGGTGGCGCGTTCTGGGCACCTGGTGGGCAAGCGTGTTTAGGTTGCAGAGAGACTGGCGTGCGAGGGTGAAGGAAGAGGACGTTGGCGGGTTCGTCGAGGCGTCTCCTAGAAGGAGAGAGATCGAGGGTGGGAGTGGTTGATGGGCTTTCTGCGGACGTGAGAATAAAAGCACTCACGTGTTAGAGCTAAAAGGGCTCTCCTCATTTTACCTGCGACAAACTGAGTCTCCGGGAGCTGACACAGGTTTTGTTTGTTTTGTTTGTTTTGTTTTTCGGGTTAACCCCAGTTTACCGCGGGGCCAGACAACCAGGTGGCTTCCTGCGACGGTGGCTGCGAGCGGAGTGGGAGGAGCAGCCGACGGGCCGCTCCAGCGGGCGCCTGGGCTACGCTGACATTTCCGTGACCTCTGCTCCGCGCTGGGGGGCGTTGTAGGGACAAGGGGCCCGTCCTCCCCATACTCCCGGCTTTTCAACGGGAAAATAGAGCTGAGGGTGACTGGACTTTGGGGGAAGCTTGTTCTGCATTGCTCGTCAGCCCTCCCTCTCCTCCGCCTCCTCCTCACGCTCATGCCCACCCTGTTGTCGACGTGGCTGACTTTTCTTAGAGACAGAAGCAGAGCCCCCAGAAGTGTGTGCTGGGCCGAGCATTAGACTATGCATGAGTAGTGGCGGTGGATCTGGACTCCGGTAGAGTCTCCCTTAAGATCCCTTCGGCAAACTAAGTTTAAGCAAAGCGCATTTGGGAATGTTGGGAGTTGAAAAGTGGCAAGAGAAAAAGATTAATTAATTGTCTGTAGGTCTCTGTCTCATTCAGTTTGTAGGAATTGGGGGAAAAGTTTATTTCAGAGAAGGGCATGATGAAAGTGGTTGTTAGTGTTTTGGCATGGTTTTAATTTCCTATTTTCTGCAGGGAGTAGGCAGGATTGGAAGGCACAAAGGAAAGAAAATGGAAACTAGAATCCCAGGAAAGAGACTTTTGCCCACTTCAGCTCTCCAAACTCCAGATTTCCTTCTGCCTCGAAATGATTTTAAGACTGCCACGATTTTCACTTTGCTCCTGATATTTGTGTTTTGCCTCTCCTCCCTTTTGAAAAACAAGTTCCCTAAATTTAAAAGCATTATTTCCCCAGGTTACCTCCTCCATCTTTTCCGAGCAGCTTGATTTCATTTGTGAGAAGTGCAAAAATTTATAAAGAAGGGAGAGACACTTTCAGTCTCCAAAATACAGCATCTGCCTCTCTCATACTTCTTTGGGTCTCTGGTTCTGTATCATGAACCTGCAGAATCAGAACTTCATGAAAGAGGTGGATCAAGCAGAAGATCTATCCATAGTAAAAGTTACCAGAAGTGCTTACCATGGTTGCATGTAAGCATTGTTTTCCAGGCGATGATCACTGATACCAAAACAAACAAGTAAATGCTCTTCACAGTCCCCCTAAAAGAAAGCCTTTAAGTCTTGGCTAGCAGGTCGAGATTGAAGGAACACAGGAACACTGCAGTGGATGCAGGATTTGGGGGTTAATTTGAATGGAACAGGGGATGAGAAAGCTGGGTTCTGAGGGAATGATCAAAGACTGCCAGAAATAAATACTAGAATGATGGGAGGAACCTGGAGTGTCAGTCTGTAGATAGCTACATCTCACGCAGGAGTTGCCTACAAAGACAGACAAGCCAATAGGCTAATAGAAAGCAAAGAAGGGTTTATTTTAGTATCAGTAGAACGGTACCTCTTTGGACCAGTTGTTTTAAAATTTCAGTTTGGCTAGAAGTGCTGGGTTCATCTGATGATAAAATATATTGGGGGGGAAGAACAGAAGCAGAAACCAGTTAAGAAGAGGCTTTTAAAGGAAAGCCTGATCAGTCTTGTATAACTCTAAACAGACACAGAGATCAAGCTGGGTCTAATGCTTAGTGCTAGTGAAACACACAGTGGATTTCTTTAGTTGATTGTTAACAGCATTTGGGTGTGTCTCTCTCCCCAGCTGTTATGTCCTCCCAGGATTTTATGTTTTTATGATGCACCGAAAGGTTACATGCTTTCTCTTGTCAAAATCCAAACTTTCTATACTGTCTATAAGAAGTGAATAATGCATATTTCGGTGTGTCTTCTGCAGATATTTAGTAAAGGTAAAATATTATTAGGATTAATTTCACATTTCTGATTCCAGAAATTTTCTTTAAAAGGAAAAATTGTGCCAAGAAACTTAAGGTTGTGTACATGTTCAAACACTGACATCAGTCAACCTCTAATCTATGTAAATATAAAGATATCATGGGCATTACAGAATTTTATCTTTGAAATAAGGGCTTCTTTGGGTGTATGCAGTGGTGTATGTTAGATTACTGTGCAAAGAACAAGAGTTTTTAAAAATCACCCTTTAGATCATCTTGGAATTCTAAGAATTTTGGTTGTATATTTGTATTACAGCTTTTGAGAGAAGCATCACTCGGTAGTAGAACACTGCTAGAAATATTTCCCACCATGCAGAATATTATTTTAGAAAAGAAAAGAAAGAACCCCAAGAACAGTCTAACAACGATAGTGAAATTCAGAAGCCAACCATTCACACTCAGTTGCAGAATTCTATTTGTTCAGCATTTTGCTCGGTTTCGCTGAAAGAAAGAAATTTCGATTTGTACTCAGATTTGCGAAGACGTGACCAACGCCAAATATCCTTAGCTGGACTCTTTTGGCACTCTTTTAACTTAAATAAATTCGAGAGGCACTTGTGTGGTCTAAAAGATTGTCCAGATGAAACGAGGCTGAAATATTATGCGAAGGGGGAGGGGAGCGCGTGAATAGCATCAGTGAGGATGGTGACCGAGGGCCGCTCCTGTCCACTGCGTGAACTGTCCTGAAGGGTCAAACTGTTCATCTTCAGCCCCTCTTTCAGTGTGCAATTCTACTTTAAGAGAACAAAAGCTCAAAGCAGGCAGTTATCAAGAAATGGGAACACAATGATTTAAACTCATCCCTAAGCCTTCGAAAGAAAGGGGGTCGAATGCTTGTAGCCAGAGAAAAGTGAAGTAAGGGGAGGGGTGAAAGGGTGGAGATCTTTAGAAAGTCTTTGTTGCTTCTAAGAAGCTTGAACTTTGAGGCGACCCAAAAGCCCTAAAGTTTAGGGTAGGTGTTGCTGTGGGGCCATAGGCTCCATCCCATCCACACTTCGACCTCACAAGTGGCCAAAGAGGACAAATGGTCTCCTCCCCAAACTCTTGCTGCGGCAGGTGAATGGGGCAGTGGGGGGTGGGGAGGCCGCGAAGGGGGGTGCTTTTCCCAGAGAGTGCAAGAGGAAAAGTTTGCGCAGCGAGCCTGTCCCCCAGTTCCCAGTAAATCGCCCTTCCTGCGTGGAGAGGGTGCGTCAACTCTCTGCTGAAAGGACAGGATGGCGTGCCTGCCAAGGGGTTTTTTGTACCCTAAGTCCTGATCCTCCGAGTGAGCGCTCAGAAAGGCGGAAAGATGGCGAGAACAAGTTAGCCA